AAGCACATCCGGTTCACATTCCATTCTAAATGTAGGTACTGAACAACCTCGTGGCTTCATTCATTGTTGACTCTTTTAATTTCAAAGACCACTACCTTTACCTCTGCATTCTTTTTGCATGAGAATAAGCAGATGTCATAGTACCAGGGGACACCCTCAACATATTCAACAGGCCATTTCCAGTGTGTTACTACTATAAAAAAAAGCAAAAAACATTCTTCAAGTTGTTCTTGGGAATCTAAAACAAAGGGTAACAAATGGACTTCATCAAATCCTGGTGCCTCAGACGTGAGTTCCAGACTCTGGATTTTGAAGTCTATTTCTTGGCCTATATTTAGATTTGGTTCACAGACACAAGTATAATTTTACATTTCGTGGCAGAGTTTGCTCTTCTGCTCCTACTTCTAGTAGTCATAGTAAAATAGGCAAAAGTTGATATCAGGTTGGGTATTATTTAAAACTACCTAGATGCGTTACCCTTTTGAAGGTCATTTTCTGGTGTGATTTGAAAAATAGTGCTTTAAGCATAATTCTTTGTTTATTTTATTTTTATTTTTTTTTTTAAAGATTTATTTATTTATTCATACAGAACTGGGGTACAGGCCAGAGGCTCAGGGGCGGTGAGAGGCTTCACCAGAGACAGAGTGGGGAGCAGAACAGGCAGATCGACGAAGTACACTGCTGAGGGGAGCAGCGGGCGGGTCAGGAGAGGTCTGGCTCGCCATGTGGTCTCCTCCCGGGCAGGCGGCAGGCGGGAATCGAACTCATGCAGAAGTGGCTTCAGATTCTCAGTGCTGTGCTTTAACCCGCTGCGCCACCAGGGAGGGCCAATTCTTTGTTTATTAATGCCACTTGATAAAGTTTCAGTGAGCCCTATGTAACTTCTAATTTATAACAAAAGGCTAGTATTCAGCTAGTTGAATCCATGGCTACTTTAACTATTTTGTTACAGCTAATTGATATTCACAGTGATCATGTTCTACTACTTCTAAATGTAATAGTGCCTTATACATTTGTGGTTCAACCCCCTTGTATATTTAATTCTCTTTATGTCAGCAAATAATTTTATTAGGTTCTTGTATATTGAACCTTATATGTAGTTCTTACAAGGAATTAAGCTCTTTTCCCTGCGCTTACTTGTTTATATGTTTTATAAGATAGATTGATGGGTTTTGCCTACCACATATTCCTATCATTGTGAGTAAATCTTTCCCAGTTCCTTATATGTATCTTCCAGATTTGTTACCAGATTTAGAATAATAGGAAATGTAGGTAGAAGGATTTCCTGTTTATGTGAATTTAGAGTTCTTTTCTCATAGTACTGTCACATGGAAAATGGAGCGGGTTCCTGTTTTGTTTTCTACCTTGACTTATTAGAATTCAACACTATCTTTTTAAGGCACTCTGTCATTTAAGATGTACAAGCTTCTCACAGTATAGAATCTTTCTTTAACATGCCTTGTACTGATTTGATGATGCATGAAGCAGTGACATCACCTTGAGCGAAGTGATTGTGATGTCACTCAGTTCTGAAGGCCATATCCCCTAGGCCAGATCTCAGTCCCCAGAGCAACCAGACCAAAGAGGACTGAGCTACTATGCCAAGAAGTTTTGTTCGCTATGAACATTTACCCAGGAACATAGGCGAGAAGGTAAAGTTTCCACCTGTACCAGGTCCCATGTCCATAATCCCAGCTCTCTCTGTCAGCCTTATCTCTTGTCTTACCTTCAAGTCTCTTCTGAAAAGAAACCAGCCTTTAAGGAGTTAAACACATATATAATTCATTTTGAATCTAGCTACCAGCACTGAGTTAAAACAAAATATCGGGAGTGGGGAAACATCAAAGTGTTTGTTGGGTTTCTTAGAGAAAACTTGATTTCCTTATTTTCTTTGTTTCTCTTGCATATGGGATGCTCTAATTTTCCATCATGATCCATTGAAGCACTTTCATCTTTTCAAATCTGCTCATGCCATTCGATCCACATCTAACAGGATCTGGGAAGGATAGTGAACAGAAGACAAGGGAAACTTTTATATTCATATTTCCCCCCCCTCCCCCCCCAAAAAAGAACCTGAGTCTGCCCTCACAACAGCTAATGTTGTAATGACCTTTGTTTTCACTTGTTCTCTTAAAATGGTTCTGCATCAGTTATACATGGACGTTGTATTTCCTTGCACTCAGTTCACTGCCTTTTCTTAAGTTGCATGTGACTCTCCATCCCCGGCAGCTATTAGCTTGGTCAGTGTATGGCCGGCGTCTTTAAGTTTCTGGATTCATATTGTGTGACTTTCCCTCCCAGCATCATATTAACCGTTCTGCAGCAATGTGGCATTAAAGGACTATGGCCATGTTTCCTGCTTTGTTACTCTCCCCAGTGGATGTCAGACTATTGATTCTGTTGGCCGCCTAGGGAAAGATTTGTGATGTTAGCCTGGTGTTGGCGGTCTTAGGTCTTTGGTAGCCAGCCTCTCCCAAGTGTGCACATCAGACCTTTTGGCGTGTTGCTGTGAAAGTTTTCAATGATCGTACCTTAGGAAAGTGAATGAGGAGATCTCTATCTTGAGTTTGTCATCAGCTACTCAAAATAGTGACCTCAGTAGACTCAAAAAATATATTTGTAATATTAAATTCTCTCACTGTTTCCTAAATAGCCCTAATAGAATATCCATTACATTTTCTTTGCATTAAAAAAAAAATCTCACTGTGCAATTACATGTGAACAAAAGAAACATTATTCAGTGCAAGTGTTTTAAGAACCATAGTGGGAAATCTCAGACATTGAATAAAAAGAGAAAATCAAGTTCTAATGCATTAAGAATTTAGTCGGTAAAATAATTTCCATGTTATAAATAAAATTCAATTTGTTAAAACAAAGTTTTTTTGGTCCCTAATATGGCTGAAATACTTTCTCTCTTGCTTTTGTATCTTGTTATGTTTTCTTCTCTTGGTCAAGAATAAAAGTATGTGTTTAAAAATACTTTTCTGATTATAGGAGTAATGACTGTTCATTATAGAAAAATGGGAAAATAAGAATAGACCAAATTAAAAATAAAAAATCCCGCCACATTGTTACCCACTGGAATCTTAGCATTCATGGCATGTTTCCACGTGGGTGGAAAGCTCTCCACCACCCTGTTTCTCCCTTCTGCTTCCTCACCCCTAAATTTCTTACAAAGAACTAGGAACTTACAACAACTCTCTGCCTAGTAGTTTCAGTTTTTAAATTCTCACCCCATTAAATAGTGCTTTTACATGGCTTTTAACATTAAATTATTATGATTTGACTATAATCTTTATATCAAGATTGCTAGACCATCTTATGTAAACAAACCTGTCACTGCTCATGTTCACAAACCACTCTTGCTGTATTTGTTGTTGTTTTAAAATAATTCTTGCTGCATTTTCTTAGCTATTGGTCCTTGTGTGCATTTCTTGATATTTCCTGTAATTAAGTGCTTGGATGTAACATTGGCTAAATGATGAGCAGATTCACGAGTAAAGATGTGCACACACATATGTTCCTATCTTTATATGTAGTAACTTCCATGTGCTTGCTTTATATCCATTTTGAAATTTAGTTAATTTCATTCTTTGTGACATGTAGTTCTATGAGTTTTGGCAAATGTACCCCATTATGTAACCACCACCATAATAAGGATACAAAATAGTTTCTTCACCCTGAAAAATTTCCTTTGTCCCTTGACTGAGTCCAAAGTATATATGCTTTTAATTTGAAATATATAAAGAAACAAACGTAATCAGAAACTACCCACATGCATTCTACCCCGGCATAACCTCTGTTGACATTTTGTTGAATAGCCTTCTGGTCTTTTTTTTTTTTCCCCTCTCTACAAGAGAAGAGAAAATACTGCCCTTTCTGTTTATGGTCATTTCTTTAAAATATGTTGACTATATTTTTATTTAGTCATTACATTGGCTTTTGTTTCTTTGCAATTCAAAACAGCCTTGTTATGACCATGTTTGCATTTTGCCATAAATTGCCAAAATATTTTTCTGATTACAGAAATAACAATTTTCTATTATAAAAATTTGAAAATAGCAAACATCCAAATAAGATAATCACTTAAACCCTAAAAGAGGAGTATTTAGATCTCAGAACATTTTTAAGGCTTTACATTTTGTCAAATTGACTTAAGGGATTGGCATACCAGTTTACTTTCCCACCGGCAGTGTACAGAAGAATGTGTTTTCTCTTACCAATATTATAATTTCATATAATATCATTTCATATAATATCCGTATTTCAGTTTCATAAGTGAATATGGAACTGCATTTTTATTCTTTCACTTTATATAGGGTTGAGTTTTGTTTATGTGTTATTTGTGTCATTTGTGTTTTTTTCCTTTGATTCTTTTTTGGTCCGGAGGGAGCGTATTTTTCAGATGTTCTGTATGTTAACAGCATTAATAGACACATTGCTAAAATTTCTTTTCCTTTGCTTATTTACTTATTAATTTGATTTAATGGTGTATTTAAATTATGGAGGCTCTCACAAGCCCATTCTTATTTATTATGTTGTGGGTCATGTATTCAATTTTAAAAGATATTTTCTTGTTAGCTCATATAATCATACATGTTTACGCATTATAGGTTTGTCAAATTTACTTTTGTGCATTTACTTTTTCTTTTATATTCCTTGTGGATTTGACTGTTCTCATATCAAGAGCCATAGACTGTACTTGTAGCTGAATTAATTTTTATCTAATCATAATATTGTATTTGTTTTTATTTATTCACATGCTTTAAAACAGCATGAACTTTTCACTGAAATCTCCTGTTTGAACTAACAGCATGGTGACATTTAACTGTGTCCCAAGTTAAGCAATTCTCTTTTTTTATTTTTTATTTATTTTTCACTTTGCTGCCTTTGGTTTGCATTTTATATAGATATTTACCCATCAGATTTCTCTGTGACATTAAGAAAAAACAGTACTGATATTGTTAAATAATTGTTTGTTTGTTTTCAACATGCTGCAGGACATGGAAGTCAAAGTAAGTAGCACTAGAGCCACCCATAATTGTGCAGATGGGTTCACATAAGCAGGTGACCTGGTAGACAGTCCCCTTACCTGGGTAGAGACAGGTGACACTTGATCACCTTGCAAAGAAACATATAATGTGTCTGGCACGAGGATGGGCATGCCAAAATATATCCTTGTTTTATCTCTTAAAATTCCTAGTCTGGTATATCTTCAGCATGCATTCAATAAAAATACGTTAAAACTTTTTCTAACATGGGTGATGGATCAGCACAGTGGTCATAATACAAGCACCTGTTTGGGAGAGGCTTTTTTTTTTTTTTTAAGATTTATTTATTTGTGCATACAGAACTGGGGTACAGGCCAGAGACTCGGGTGGTGAAAGACTTCACCAGAGACAGAGCGGGGAGCAGAACAGGCAGATCGACGAAGTACACTGCTGAGGGGAGCAGCGGGCGGGTGGAACTCATGCGGAAGTGGTTTCAGCTTCTTAGTGCAGTGCTCTAACCTGCTGCGCCACCAAGGAGGGCCTCGGCCTTTTTTTTTTAAACTGATCTTGAAATTATTTTTTTCAAGAATCAAAAATACCTGTTTTTTTAATTTTGTGAAAAAAAATTAGAAATGGGATAACTGAGTGCTTTTAAGCTGCTTTTATTCTTTTCATTATTACTATTTTTATCTTAATTACTCAGATGCACAGATATGGTAGTTTTCACCCATTCCCTCTAAAAACAGTTACCTCATTATAAAAGGTTGAATAATGCATCTGTTTTTGTGCCGGTTTTTGTAATTCTTGGATTTTCAAAACATAAGACTTAGGTCCAAAAAGATATGTAGGCCTTTTTGTGTCATGCAAGATAAGAAGATCATGTCTTATGCCTAGAATAAATTCAAAGTTTTATTGTACAAAATATTAATCCTTGAAATTACTCCTCAAAAGAGAAGTTAAATAAAACTGTCTATGCTATATTCTGACATTTCCAAGTAAGTTTGGACAAAGTAGGACACAGCTGTTACAGTAATTTAAAAAAAAACAACAACATTGTAGACTCATTCTTTACATTTAAATGCAGCAATCATCCTCTTATTAATGCTTTTCTGTGGCAGAGACCTAATAGTTGACAAAAATCTTGCGCTTTGTATACTTGTTTCTAATGCAATTTATACTTGACTTTTGCTTTGCTGTTGCTGCTTTTTCTTGATATAGTATGTTGTTCATTTCCCTTTTTAGGCGAGGCAGCTGGAAGAGAAGGATCGAGTGATCAAGAAGCAGGATGCATTCTACAAAGAGCAGCTGGCTAGACTGGAGGAGCGGGTATGACTATTTCTTATCACTGATTCTCTTACCACATCTGCAGTTTCTCCACATATTTATTTTAAAACCAGCACATTCTAACTGTGACTGTTTTTCCTAGCTAAAAAGTGGCCAGAAAGAATAGTCACCACAGAGGGAGATCATTCTCTGGGACTTCTACTCTGACAGTTTGGGGATGATCTAGTCTTGCTTCATTGGGGCACTTCACTACTCAAAGTCTCCCCAAAGAGGTTGCCTAACATGCTTACAAACCACACTGCCTCTAGAGTAAACACGGGAATGCGCCTCTTAACTGGCCCCAGTGGCGATTAAACTTGATCATGTTCTCAGGAATGGTACTTTTTGAAAGGCCATGTTACCCTTGAAACCTTTGTTGCTTTGTGGCTGAAAATGTACTTTTTTTTTTCTTCAAGATTTATTTATTTATGCATACAAGAACTGGGGTGTAGATGAGAGGTGCAGAAGGGGCGGGAGTGTGTGAGAGAGAGGATTCACCAGAGACGGTGTGGGGGAGCAGAAAAGGTAGATCTAGTGAAAGTACATTGCTGAGAGGAGCAGTGGGTGAGACAGGAGAGGTCTGCTGCGCCATGTGAGTCAGCTCCCTGGCTAGGGATGGAACTCATGCTGCAGAGTCTGGAACTCAGCTGCAGAGTCTGCTGAGATGTAATCCCTGTGCCACCAGGGAGGCCATAAAGATGTACTCTCTTGAGAGTAGACAGTGAAGAGCAGGTTTTAAGAATGGTTGCTGAGAAGACTAAAGGCAGTACCTCTGGTCCCATTGGACCCAGGATTTTTTTTAAATAATATAATAGTTTTTACATCATTTTGTGCCTTTTCCCATCTCAGTTGTAATCCCCATGGGCTTCCCATCACCAAATAACCCGTGTGCCATCACCGTAGTCCAGTGCACTTCCCTCCCTCCACCATTTTTGATCCCATTCCCCATTCTGAACCCAGGGTTTAGTTTGACAGATACAAAGGAGAAAATTGACTGATATAAAAGGAGGCCTAAGAAGGTGAGTTTAGACACCTACTCTGTGCCCTTGTTCTGTAAAGTAAATTTGTATGGAATAATTTCACGCTTTATCCCTGAGGTTACAAAACTTTTTCTGTTTGAGAACCTCCCCAGTTTGATTTGTTTAGGATAGGATGTTCAGTAAGAAAATAGGTAAAATAAGAAATAAATTATTAAGCCCCATACAGCATTGTTATTTAGATGTTAATGTGTTCCCCCATCTCTAGATTTCTCCAAACCAGGAGCTTTTAAATATTGGGACCATTTGTTCAGCTTGTTTCTGCTTAACCACAATATCATCAGGCCTGGATTAGTGCAGAGATAGACCAGTGAAGAGTATGGTTGTTATGGGGCTGTTATGGGGAGGGAGAAACACAGGAAGAAACAATGAGTTTTGGCAAGGAACTGGAGAAAAGGGAACCCTTGCTCATAGGCGAAAGACAGTTGGTACAGCCTCTATGGAAAACAGTGTGGCATTTCCACAAAATGATTAAAATGATATACCATATAGTTTTCCAAAGAAAACAAAAACACTAACCTGAAAAAGTATGCTACCCCATATTCATTTCATGACCTTGCCATCTGGTTATCTCATCAACATAATCTCTTATAGTTTCTGGTTCTTTATGAAGTGGGGATAATGCTCAGTTCCTTGTTTACCTTCCTGAATTATTGGGGGAGGGGGTAGGGGTAGATAACATGATGTATTTAAAAGCCCACTGGAAAATTGAAGAGTTTAAGAAATGGAAGCAGCTGTCTTTAAAGTCTAGCTACTTGCCACTACATGCAAGATACTAATTTTTTCTTAAAAATAGTATTACTTAACTTCCTGGTATCTTCTATAAAGTCTTGGGTCTGTTTATACTGCCCTTTCTGAAGAACCAAAGATGTATTTTGTCCAGTCAGAGTTCATCTAGGAATAGCTGTGAGACATTTAGGTTTCTAATGTTAAAGCATTTTCTAGACTTAATGCAAAAGATTGTAAAAAAGTGTTTCTCTTATACTGCGATGACAGTGAAAGCATCAGACCATTTCTAGGACTTCTCTACCACTGTTTTAGAAAATGTAAAAATACTAAACTGAACAGATATAATGTAAGAAAAAGAACAATTATAACATGATACCTTGTAGAATTCATCTACAGTGCTATGAAGCCTATGTTGCCCGTGTTTCAAAAGTTGGTACAGACACATAAATCCTTCTCTCTTTTAACCAAATGAAATGATGAAACCATCAACTAGGCACCTGGTGGTATTTCATGAAAAGAAAGAAGGCATCAAGGAGTCTTCCACAGAATCATTTCAAGAACAATCCCTAAGATCCCCTCACCAAGTGTCTGCCCATCAATTGGAATAACAAAGACAGAACTTCTATGCGCACTCCTTGGTGACTTGTTATTACTTGAACCATGTCGTTTCTTGAACTTGTTGCAAATTTCTGTTAAGATGTTGAGATCCACCTCCTCGTACACATATTCAGTTCTGTGCTGCATTTTGGTCTCCCTCCTCAGTCTGTTTCAGTAAACTATCAGGTATTTCTATATGTGAATTGATTGTCCTCTTCCCAGGGATTTATTGTGGCTAGTCTCAGGAGGTTGGGATAATTTTTGGCTTTCCCTCGCTCCTGGACATCAATTTTACCTTTCTAGGACCACTATTCCAAAACAACACACTTTACTGACAAAGGTCCAAGCCATTGGGAGTGCCTTTCAGGTCCTTACTTCACTATAAATGTTGCCAGCTTTTCAACCTTGACATAGATGCAAAGTAAATGTTTCTATTTTAAGATGGTGTATTAGGTGTGTGGCCTCACTGAAAGAGACTTGAATAGTAATTCCTGCTTGTTGATGGAAGAGAATTGGAGAGTGTAATTCCTGGCTGGTGATTTGATGAGAGGAAGCCTGGGGCAGCTTTTAGAAAGAAGGTTCTAAGGTTTTTAAGTAGTCTTGTCGTCCCCCCTTCCCTCAGGGAATTCTCCCTAATGTCTCTCCTGATGATGCCACATATTACTTATGATAGTTATCACTACCTCTCTGTGCTGCTCTTTTAAACCCTTTGAGACTGAAGGTCACTTTTTTATTTCTGTACTTTCTACAGAAATCAATGAATCCTACATTAATTAAGCTTCTACCATAAAGTTATATCCAAACAAGAATGAATAGTTTTGAAATATCCACAAATTAGCGTTCGCTGATCATTCCAGTGAAGGGTTTTAAATCTATCCCTGAGAGAAGCTTGACTTTGAATATCTTGAAGTTTCTAGCCTCATAACAGTTATGTTTATTGAACATTTTTGTTGTGTAAGGCACTTTATATGGATTAATTTGTTTTATCCTCACAACCCTATGAGGCTGTCAGCCCTGTTTAGATAAAAAGCCTAAGGCTTAAAGTAATTTGCCCAAGAATATACAGCCAAAACCTGATCTGGGCTTGAGCCAGATTCAACACCTGAGCTTTTAGCCATTACCCAGCACTATCTTTAATATCTGCATTTAAGACATTAAATCCTACTGATTGTTTTGTTAGTTCTTTCTGTGTTAAGTTTGCTGTTAGTTCTTTCTGTGTTAAGTTTGCTCTTTTTGGCTTCCAGTATAACTTTTCACATTCTGATGCTACAATATGATTGATGTTTCCTCATAATCTGAAAGTGAGAAGCATCCAAAATGCATAATTTTCTCCTCAGGACTTGGCACTTTCTGGGAAAATTTGACCAAAAGGGAATAAATAAGGTCTCATTACCTAGCAAATACTGCATACCCCTAAGAGTTACTTTAATATCTATTTGTGCTTCTTTTATTTTGAAGAAATTCATAGTCATTCAAACATTTTACAAGTGTTTCTGAACCGTTCGCTCATGTATCCATCATTCATGTTTATGTTATTGGTACAGGATGGTCATTTTATTCCATCTCTAGAAAGCAAACATACTTGATATACTAATAGTTTTCATTAGAATCTGGATTGCCTGCATGTTTCCAGGAAAATTTATTTTTCAGTAACCTCTGAACCCTAGAGGAGGGAGGGTAGAGGAAGCTCTGCCCTAGTGTGAGAAGATAGCGTCCAGTTTCTCCCAGGGGCCTTCCAAGAGCAAGGGCCCCTTTCTCCTCAGGAGACATGGAGTTCTTTGATGATTAGTGTGTCTTGCATGTCTAACTTCTCAATTATGAACTTGAATCGATTTGCTCGACTGAATCCACTTTGCTCTTGGCATTCTTAAGAATGGCGGGGTCTGGCACAGCATGAAGAGAGCGCTAAAAGCCCTGGTGGCTTGAGGAACTGAGGGAGATCAGAGAGCTTAGTTAGATGCAGTTACAATGTTCAGATCAACAGGGTAGGGAATGTGCATTACTTTTAGTTTCCAGGCGCCTCTGGATTTCAGTAGCTATTTGCATACACACTGCAGTCAATCTGTACAATTAAGAGGAAGGAATTGTGCAAGCTGGGCAAAAGAGTAATGTAGAGAGAATGGTGAAAAATAAATTGTCATTAAGAAGAAAAGTACTTTACCAGTTCATCACCTGTGGGGAGAGTGGCTAATTAAATTTTAAGGTCAGGCTTACATCAAATGAGCAAGTTTAAAAAGCCTTTTACTTAGAGTAGGTTCCGTATCTTCTCTTACATCATAGTATCGGACTCATCTGTGTGATTAATTGGCTTTTTTGATGGCTTGACTTCTTTGTCGGTTAGTACGTCCGTTTCTGTATTCCTCTGTGCAAAGCTTGGGGAAAACTAATGCCAACACTGATAATAAAGAGAAATGACAACAGAACAGATTATTGGCAGCTCAGCATGCTCCTTATGAAAGAAATTACAATGCATTTTTACTTCCAGATTAAGTCTGTCATTGTAAAAATATTTCATTGAATGACCTGGGTCAGCTTCTTCAAGGGGTTAATAGATAGAATCACAGTTGGAACACTCAGATCTGAGATACTGACACATAAACAATTCTTTTTGAGGCTCAGGAAATAAAATAGTAAACAAAA